TTAAGCCAATTCTTCTTGGCTTTCTAACTCAGTGTTCACAGCAAGAAGCTCCTCTTTCTTTTTGTCGTTGGCAGCGAGTTTTGCTTCCAACTCTGCAATCTGTGCTCTCAACTGAACACTGTTTTGATCAATATCCTCGACTTCCTTTTTCCTAGCCTCCTGGGCCTTCGACAAGTCCTTTACTCTAGAAGTGGATTCAGTGGCAGCATGCCAGGAAGCAGCCACTTGGCCATTAGCTTCCTCAATATCACGATTAATGAGTCTTTGACGATTGAAGTCTGCTGATACTTGCTCGACGATAGAAAGTAAATCCAGGATTACACTGGCTACGTCTGGAGGGGCAACAAGAAGATCAACAGCTTTCAAGATAGTCTTCAGATAGGAAGGCGCTGCTGGTTCCCCCTCTAAAGTTAACATCAAATCTCTTTTAAAGATTTGTGCTTTAACCTTTTGAAGAGCTTCATCGAGAGGGGAAGTCGAGGTACTGCCAGATGCAGTCGAGGCGCTACGATCAGAGGAGCTCTCTCTACCCTCCAAGATTGCAGTCAAATAACCTAACAGATCTTGTTGCTTCAGTAAAGCCAAATCCTCTTTAGTTCTCGACCCAGTCAAAGGGATGCTTGTGTTGGCTGCAATAACCACGTTAGGTACTTGAGTAGGAATTGCCTCAGTACCTGGAGGATTTTGGTTTTCTTCAGCAAGAGCTTCATCACCCTCATCTTCTGGGATCTCCCCATGTTCCTCCTCTGTCTCAACTTCGACCATAGGAATCCTAACCTCCTCTTGATTTCCTTCAGTTTCTTCTTCATCAGCTTCTTCTATGGTTTCACGCTGGGGTTCAGAAGTCTGATTCACTTCGTCAGCTGAACTCACGAAAGAGTCTTTTCCTGAAGAAGGTATGTAGGTAGGAATCCAGTCACTATTCAAGCAAGTGGTCGAATCCTCGTCATGAGTAGGATTTCGTGTCGAAGTGCTAGCAGTTTCCTGAAAAAAATAGAAAGAATTTATTGCTTGTAAAAGCGTCACAAAGTAAGAGAGAGTGAGAAGTACATAACAAGCAGTCGAAGTGGATACCTGTACTAGAATTTCAGCACCAGGACTAGAATTGTCACTTTCACTAGGATTGTTTAATAAGGCGATCATCTCCTATTCAGTGGGTTCATTGATGATGACAGGAGGTAACCTCCCCACCGTAGTTTTAATCCTAATTTTTGGACGGGTTTTGACAGCAGGAGTTGGTTTTTTCAATCTTCGTCTCTGCAAAGGAACAGGTGGAGACTCCTCTTCCTCATCGCTAGAGATTTGGATCTCTTGAACCTTCCGTTTTTTTGGAGTAGATTTCTAAGCGTATAGAAAACCAAGGCGAGAAGGTCAATAACTACGTCAGATAAAACTAAGGGTAAAAAAAGAAAGGTAAGTACCTTAGGAGAGGGATTGATGGTAGAGTCTCCCCCTTTTGCACTCTCAGCGGTTTTCTTCGCAACCCGTTTGACAGCTAAACGAAAGGCAAAACAACTATGGTTAGTTAGGAGTTGGTAAAACAAATCTAAAGCGAAGGGATGGAAAAAGGAATACCTTTTTTAACTCTGTCGAGAACCAGCTTGAATGCCTCACGCAGATGGTGGGCAAAGTCCTTCTCGTCGAAGAACTCTTCCTCATAATAGTGTCTCCACCACGTCTCATAAATGGTAGAGTTCAGAAAATGAAGGTTAAAATTGAACAGGGTCAGTGTAGTTTGACCAGAATACCTACCAATATGCTTGGTAGCGGCATCCTCTGAGTAATCTGCATTATAAAAGAGTAGCAGTCTCTCTCGAGGGTATATAGGCGAAGGAAGCGATTGAGCGATGCCAAACTATTGAGAGACAAGATTGGGTTGATAGGCAATCAAGCTCAATTGGTTCTTCGAGCTCTTAAATCTTAAAGGCATGATCCTGGGGCAGAGAAACGCTTCCCACATGCTCACGAACTCATCCACCACGTCATCTTATTCTGAAGGATATGGTCTAGTAAACCATTTCGGGCCAACTTTTCGACCGACAAAAGGAGCCATAGTCAAATCAAAGCTTTTTCGCTCCGCAAACATCATTACGAAGCTTGTAAAGGCTTTTTGAAACTGTTGGCCTTCGTCAGTGGGAGTTAGCAATGCCAACCTGGTGCCTTCGACTCTCATGTTTGAAATTTCATGAGCTTCTTCGTTGATCTTGTTCTTTTGAGGGAGGAAGGATTCGAAGGTGGCGTTAAGCCACAATTGTAGAAGCCAGAAGGGACCAGATAGCAGCAAACTTCCTCTGTCCCCCAGAACCTTAAGTTGAGTCACGCCATTACTGATGGACTCATATTAGTTGGCCAGAATCAATTCGGCCAAGAAAAGAGGGTATTTGTGATGGAGCTGTGTTGCAAGTGTCAACATCTTTTTCGTCACCTGCAGTGATTTAGTGCAGAAAACGAATCGAGACAGCCACATGGCCAAGAAGGCTATGTGCTCCACCTCCGACACAGTATTTGAAGCCTTGTCATGAAAGTGGTTTATGAAGGTGGTATAAGTAGGTTTGGTAGCAGCAAACCCAATGGGATCCTCAGACAGGTCTTCAGGGTCGAAATAGTCACCAGTAGGTCGAAGACCAGTAATGGCAGCTATGTCGAACAAGGTAGGGGTCACCATCCCACAAGGCAGATGAAAGGTGAAATGTGCACTGTCCCAAAAGTACAATGAGGATACCAGCATAAGGGGGCAATAAGGTAACCCTGTCTTTGACAACATCACTAAGTCATAGATGCCCATCTCCTTCCAGATAGGAGCTTGCACCCTCTCCATTTTATTCAGCCAGTCGGAGTATTCAGAAGAAAGGTTAGGGCTTGATCGAAAGATGCGATTACCTTTATTCATGAACTGGAGGTTGATATCATCAGCAGTTTGAGGATGTTGCTGGTTAGCCGGTGTAGCATCTTCAGCATTTGCCCTAGGTTTTTGGGCGCAACCTATGGGTTTAAGCCTTGGATGTGTAGGGAAAAAGGCATTGTTTTTTAAGGGATTTTCAGCGCATGAAGATAATGGGCCAGACATAGCATACATCTTTCCGCCATATCTGACAGGAATAAGGAGTTGAGAGTCACAAGCTTCTCTCCCTTCTCCCATAGGTTCAACAATATACCTGTTAGTCGAGGAAGAAGGAGGGTTGATTGAAAAAATCTCTGGTGGTTTCTGAACATCATTGGCATTCTTTGGTTGTGGATTGTTTGGGGCATTAGAGAGAAAGGCCATTGTTAAAGATTTAAGAAAAAGAGCGAAGGTGACAATACAGTGTTGTGAGAATGCAAGGAGTTTGGAAAAGCTGAGAATGATAAAAGTTCTAAATGGAGAAGTTTAGAAGTATTTATGGCCTTCAGAAGTGGGAAATGTCTCGTCAAACGCATTGAATGTTTTGCAGGTAGTGGGGCACGTGGCGAGGCAGGAAACGATTACCGTGCAGGCGTTGGGAAATGTTGGGACATGCTTGCCTAGATTATAGGAACGAGGCCATCATGGCAAGCATGGTAACGACAGTTTTGAAGAGACATTTTGGAGAAAAGTAATGATGGTTTTATCAAATATAGAAGCCGTTAGAAGGCGAAAGGTACACGTCAAAGCCTGGTGGACAACTGGTAAGACAGGTGTCGAATGGGAAGTTCAAAGAATGGCTATTTCTTTGGGCGTCGAAATAGACATTCTTGGGGGGCAATTTGTTGGCTCCCAAATTCGACACTTGCTATATTTGGACTCCTTGACCAAACAACTGGAAATGAACTACACCAGGAGATGTAATTCGACGCATGAGATAAATTAAGGAAAGGATCCAAGGTATAATAAGAAAGCTTTGACCAAATGCTCATTCGACCGAGGCAGATGCAGGTTGTTTCGACTGAAGGGAAGTGTTTGTGCCTTGGCACGTGGGACGAAGACCATTTTGAAATTTGAATTATTGGAGGGAAAGGTGGTTTTTATCAGCGTCTAAGGGAAGGAAACATGGAAAAAGGCTATGGGTCGAGAGACATGCAAGAGACACTTGTCTTCATTTTAGCGCAGGATGCCCCCTCGACGGTTACCTATTTTTAGTATAAATTAAGAAGTTTGTGTAATTTTTAGTGTGTGCAACTTATAGTACAAAATCTCTCAAATATTATCCAAGTAAATACCGCGTGAGAAAGGATAAAAAACAGAGCAATGTACGTTAGAAACACCTTTTTTACTTAATGAAAGTCTTTTCACTCTACTTTACCATTATATTGCAAAGTTATCTTTTACTTCTTTTCACTTCTTTTACTTGCATTTTTATGTTTTCATTTACTGTTCAACAATCTTAAAACATCTCTCCCCTGGGTCGAACGTGCGTTCTTCCTTCTCACTCATTTTACATAAAGATTAGCATATGTTCTGGGATTAGTTTGGTCGATCCCGCAAGCAAACCAAAAACTTACCTTTTTTGGAGACCAGCGGTTGTTTACCAAAAAACAACGGTAAACACTAGGAGCCAGAGAATTATGGACTAGGATGTTGTAGACTCCAAATTTTATTAGACTGGCAATAAGAGTACATACATTCTCAGATCCACATAATGGAATTGAAACAATGACAGCATGTGGTATTGGTTCCGACCTTTATTTCTTCATCGAATGGGAGAAACTCAGAGCCTCATATACTATTTCATTTCGAGAAAAACCAACAATGATTGAATTCCACGACACTAAAGTTCGTTGAGTCATTCTATCAAACACCTGACGAGCAAGCTTTATACACCCGTCTCTAGCATACACCTCTATCAACGAATTGGAAACTCTAAATTGACTCTGAACTCCTTCTTCATATAATAAGTAGGTGTTAGAGGTATTTTAACAAACAGTTTGTGGGCGTCATTTGAGAATAAAGTGTCGGTGTACCTTTGGAATTCACTTTCTCCATAACACAAAAACCCAACAATCTAATCAAGTAGTTTCGGCGGAATCACAAAATCAACAGCATCATGACACACTCCATCGTTGAATTGAGGCTCGACAATGAGAGGTATTAAAGATTTAAAATCTATGATTTTTGAACATTGTGGAAATGACGCGCAAGAAGAAGAATGAATCTTCTCCTGTTTCGGAATTGGCGATGATGAAGGTTCCAAAACTGACACGAGTTTAACAGTGGTATCAGAGGTTGGTGCTGGGGAAATGGTGAATCCACATAATTTTGTAAAAGTTTCAGGTGAGTGTGTTTTTTCATATTTGGAATAGAATCAGGTTTATTCGGTGGAATTTCATAAACGCCATGAAAATATTCAATGTTGGAAGGAAGTTCAGTCGTGGGAGTTGATACAGATCCTAAATTTGTGATTTTAGAATGATGTGAAGAAGACAAATGGTTCTGTTTGTGATTTAGAATTGATGAGGAACTCAAGGTTATTTGGTCACTCTCAAGTGCGAGAATCGGTGCAAGATCTTCAAGGAAGGAAGTTATTTCTATGGATTTCATAGATTTCAGATTTGTATCCGCCTACTCTTCCATTGGCAAAAAATTTCTTGTAACACTTTGCTCCTTCAAGGATGACGACTCTTCAATCGGTTCCTCTTCCTCATCTAAAATTGGTAAAATTGATCTTCAATCAGGTTTAAAACGCCATAACAATGTTGTTGTAAAGGTATCCCAACTATATCTGTCATGAACACGAGATCACCATATCCACCATTTGAGAGCAGAACCTCTCAATGCTCCAACATCTTTCAAAACCTTCAACGACTCGGGTGTTTCACGCTCCTTGAAAAATTTCTCAAAATAAAGAATTCACCAATAGACATCTTCTTTCCCATCAAACAACAATATTATCATGAATTTAAGCGAAAGTGGGATGAAAAATGAAAACACCAATTCTTAGAGTGCTAAAACTAGAAACTTAACAAACTATAAAAAACGCAATTTACACTAAAAAAAACTAAAAGATAGAAAAGATAAAAATAAAAATAACTTTCATTTCATTTGATTCATCCTTAATGTCTATGTAAGACTACATTATATAATACTATTAATGAATAATAAATCTAAAAACCCAACAACTATTGAAAGTCCAAATACAACTATTAATAGTTAATAATATAAATGACTTACTAAATTAATATTTTAATTTAATTTAACTTATAATTCTACTCTCTATTATTATTAGTGGCCAACAATATAAATCCTGTTTATTTTCTCAAATATCTTCGGTTTTATTTTTTAAATTTATGTTGATGTTAAATTGTTAATTAAGATATAAACGAGGAAGCATGCATTTTTCAAAATTAAGAACAATTTTTACCATTTTGAAGGTTGTTTTAAAAAAAATAGTAAAAGAAGATGATGAAGAAAGTATTCTATAATGTCGTATGATGAAGTAAAAATGAAAACATGAAATGGATGAAGTGAAAATGAAAAGATGAAACGTGGGAAGTACTGGGTTACTTAAAGTAAAGGCTTTATGGCATTCGAATATCTCCCATCTTTAGATGCTAGATAATGTGGTCTTGTCAACATTCATGACTTTATCTAAAGTTCGAAGATTTGTGCGCTGATGCAATAGAATTTCACGTATTTGATTGAAAACAATTGGTATTATTTTATGACCACACTTTCCCATCCTTTTATGAGATATAATATTGTCGCGTGCATCATTATTTTTTATTTGTTTCCAAAATCTCTTCAATGTTCGATTAGAAATCAAGAATTGTAATGCAATTTTTTTCATTCATTTTTTCAACTTGTCATTCACACTTTTATGAAGTAGTAAATTGTTGAAAATCTTGGAAGGAAGATAACTTAGAGTGAGAATTGAAATGATTTATTGACTTTAAATAGATAATAAATAAGCCTAAACAAGAATTAATATAAAAGTGAATTTGAAAAGATTCATTTTAGTCTCACATATCAGAAAACACAAATTTTTAGTCCCACATGAATTAATTTGGTCAAATGGATTGGATCCTAAGGGTATCCAACTTGGCTAAATGGGTTGGGCCCCAATGGATACTCAATTTTGAAAAAAGAGTGAGGACATACTACCAAGCCATCTAGACACACACGCGTGCCACCGTCTGACTGACTCGGCTCGATCTAGATGAATTAAGTTTTTGGAACCCAAATTGATAATGAGCTTGAAAATTTAAACTCCCTCCCACGATTTTAGCTCCCCTTAGTTGAATCCCTTGCCTATTCATTTGCAAATCACTTCAAATTTATGAACTTTTCGAAATCTCTCTTCTCCCTCTCATTCTCTTTATCTCAAATTATTTTTCTGTTATGCCTTTCGAGTGGCTTATTGCGCCATCAAAGACTGGATTAATTTCATATATTACGAGTGGTTTAAACACCATATGAAGGTGTATCTCTTCGAACGATTCATTATAGTGCAAGTGATAACCGTATTCTTGAACGAGTTATTTTATCCTAAAGACGTCGTCGAAACTCGATTGCATTGCATAATTATTGATAGTACGATGAAACATCTTAAAGAAAGCGATCTAGTACGCGACTCGTCCCGATAATTTTCTTTGTGGCAATTTTTCAAAAACCGAAAATAACAAATCAAACACAACTCTTCGTTCATTAGCGTTCGAGTTTTTTGATTTCTTTGACGATAAAACTTGAATTAGCCGTGTCGTTGTTGACTTTTTCTCATGTTACAAATACTATGTGAAAATATAACACATAAATAATATACATAAATTAAAAGAATCATATCAATAACATATTTAAATTAAAATATATAAAATGCACTACATATTGTTGGTGCACAAGATTGAAGTTGAAAAATAAAGATGAGAGAGAGAGAGTTACAACAAACTTGTTGAGAAATAAACTTTATACACAATTGCATTAACTTCCTTACTAAAACCTTAGCTACAAACTTGTTTAAATACACAAAATAAACTGCCGCGTAGGCCCTAGCAAGAGTATGTTTAATAGTTAAACTAACAAAATAAATTAGAACCCCAAAATCTAAACATGCTTCTGGGATGCAACCTCAGAAGCTTCTGCTTCTGACTAACACAATTACTTATAACACCATCCCTTAATTCATATTCAGCTAATTAAATTCTATGATATTAATGTTATCCCTCAAGCAGATAAAGTGTCTACTCTTGACAGCTTTCATCAAAATATATGCAAGTTGCTTATGGGTGTTATAGTGTGCAACTTCTTGCACTCTATTATGGACTAGACTTCTCTGAAAATAGAACTTCGTGTCAATGTGTTTGCTTCTCTCATGCCTCACTGGGTTCTTGGCAAGGCTTATAGTTAATTTGTTGTCAATCATCAACTTTACATATTTGCTCATCTTGATCTTCAGATCCTGCAACAAATTCATCAGCCAAATAGCTTGACACACAAATAAAGCACCTGCGATGTATTCAACTTTGCAAGTTGACAACGCAGCCACAGGTTGCATATTTGAGCACCAAGAAATGAGACTTTCCATTTACCTGAAAAAGTATCTAGAAGTACTTCTTCTGTCAACTATATCTCCACATCAATCAGAGTTTGAATAACATATCAGCTGAGTCAGATTAAACACCAGAAGAGAACAATACTCCATACTTCAGAGTCTCTTTAATGTACCTCAGAATCCTGACATCCGCTTGGTAATGTGACCACTTTAGCTTGTTCATAAACCTACTCACCATTCCAACCATATAACAAATGTCAGGTCTGGTGTTACACAAATGCCTTAATGAGTCAACCAACTATTTTAAAGTTATAGCGTCTACATCATCACCCTTAATATCATAATTGAAATTCTTGTATATCATACTTCATATGTCTTATGACATATTGAGACATCTCGTCTGAACAAAACACACAGGCAAGGTATAACAATCAAAATAGTACTGTAAAGCATAAATAACACACCAAAATTGTTAACCCATTTCCGAGCAACTCTCCTACTATGGAGGCATACTAAGCCAGGGATAAAGTCATTATAATAGTATCAATTCATAGACCCTACAACAAACATACCAGTTTATGATCTACTCACTTAATCACTACATGTGCTAACTTTCTACCTAATACTTTCCTAGGTATGAGACCCTCATCAACTCCCTCATCAAACACAAACAACAATTGATTAAAGCAGGAAGATATACTTCCATGACGTAAAACTAGAAGACACATTTCCATGACAATACCTATCCACGACTCTTGACTAAGAACACAACTTGGAGTTACTTAAAAACTTCCTCCAAGAATAATACTCAACTTATTACCTAAAGGCTTTTGAATGAGAACAATAATAGAGACTACAATTCTATAACATTCGTCCAACTCACAACCGAGTGGAACACACAACCAACTCTCCTAGAGAGTAGTACAGACTCAACCCTAATAACTACATATTTTCATTCACGGTTGATACCTTCTTTTAGGTTACAATACTTTTATTTATAACCTTTTTCCCAACTGGATTTGAGCTTGAAATCACAGCATATCAGCTGCTACAAATCAGCATAAACTTCTGCTACAAAATAAGCCTTCAAGCAAATATTTCCTAATTTATCTCCATAATTAGAAAGTCAATATTCTTGAATATTCTTCTTGATTCTGACTAAAATCTTCCAGACCTATGAAATAGCGCCACATAGGATAGCATAATATTCCCAGAATATTCTGCATATGTTAAATCTTGAACTGATCCAGCTGTCCAGCCCAACATAGGTGCGATGTCGAATGACCCTGCATAAGATATCTTATCCGACATGTTGCTCAAGATGATGAGAACTTCTCATCTCAACATATCTCAAGATAAAATAGGACTTCTTGCTCAACCTTTTCTTCTTAGCAAGTAATCACATTTTATTTAACATATTGCTGCTATATTAATTTTACCAAACATAATGCCAATCATAAAAATAGAGAATTAACAATAATCTAGCTTGTGATTCGTCTCAGCAGGTGTAATTGCAGTCTTGCAATTTGTTAGCTCAAATATCTTTAGAAGCTTAAGTTCATACTTCAGCTGATGCAATATTATATCCTTCTCATAATACATAATCTCCATCCCTAGAAAATACACCATATTTCCCAGATCAGTCATCTCAAACTCATTTATCAACACCTTCTTGAACTTGATTACTCTTCGGGACAACTTCCTATTAGCAATATGTCATCAACATAGATACACACCATAATCATATTGCCTCCATAAGTATGCTTCACATAAACTCTATACTCTATCTCACACTTTCTTAATCCTTGCAGCTTGAAAAAGGAATCAATTTTCATATTCCAAGCTCTAGGAGTTTATTTTAGTCCATGCAACGCTTTATGTAATTTGTACATAATCTCTTCCCGATTCTTTTTCAAAAATCTAGGAGGTTGTGACACGTACACCTCTTATTATAATGGACTGTTCAAAAATGCAGATTTCACATTCAGATGTATCAAAGGCCAATTCCTATTTGCAGCTATAGAAATCAACAATATGATTATTTCATGTATAGCTATAGGTGCAAACACTTCAAAGTAATCTAGTCCATATTCTAGTAAAAACCTTTTATCTACTAACCTTGCTTTGTATTTGCCAATTGATTAATTTGGCTTCAACTTTATCTTGAAAACCCATCTGACATTGATTGCTTTCTTCTCCTTTAGAAGCTTAGTCAACCCACAAGTCTTGTTTCTTTCTATAGCCTC